ATGACGGTCATTTAATTATTCAAAATGCGGATAAATTAAGTAACAACAATAAAATAGGTGTCATCGCTCAGAACAGTGAAAAATTTATTAATATCAGTTTTGAAAGTTTGAGTTTTAAAGACACTTTTGGGTTTTTAACTGCTTCATTAGATAAGTTAGTTTCAATGAGTAAGTATGATAATACAGATGAAGAAGATAAAAGTAAATGGTTATTGCGTGAAAACTGGAAAGATAATTTTAGGCTCAGTAGTAAAAATGATGTGATTAAGAGTGAGAAATGTCTAGATTTGCTGACTGATAAAGGTGTTTATCCTTATGACTACATGAATTCATTTGATAAATTTGATGATGAGCAATTACCGAGTAAGGATGATTTTTATAGTCAGTTGATTGAAGAAGGTATAAGTGTTAACGACTATGAAAGGGCAAAAATTATATGGAAGCATTTCGACATTAAGAATATGGGTGAATACCATGATTTATATTTGAAAACTGATGTATTTTTATTGACTGACATTTTCGAAAATTTTAGAGATGTATGTATGAAATATTATGGATTGGACCCTGCTTATTATTATACATTGCCTAACTTTGCTTTTGATGCTATGCTTAAAATGACTGGTGTAGAGATTGAGTTAATATATGACCAAGAAATGTATGAAATGATAGAAGCGGGACTTAGAGGCGGGATGTGTATGGTTTCTACTAAAAAAGTTGAAGCAAATAATAAATACATGGGGGAAGAATATGATAAAAATAAAGAAAGTAGTTATATTAACTATTTTGATGCTAATAATTTGTATGGGTTAAGCATGATACAAAAACTGCCATATAAAAATCTAAAATTGGATGATACATTAAAAGAAGAAGACATTATTAATTACAAAAATAATAATATTGGATATATTCTAGAAGTGGATTTAGAATATCCTAAAGAATTACACGATTTACACAATGACTATCCAATGGCACCTGAGGTTATGAATGTTAAAGCCAACATGCTGTCAGATAAACAAATTGAAATTTATGAATTTTTAAATCATAAAAAACCTACGGATGAGAAAACAAATAAATTAGTATTGAATTTAAATGATAAAGAAAAATATGTAATCCATATAAGAACCTTGCAATTTTATTTGAAGCAAGGGTTAAAACTTAAGAAAATTCATAGAGCAATTAAATTTGAACAAAAAGAAGTTTTAAAACCTTACATTGAGTTAAACACTGAGAAGAGGAAGAATGCTAGAAATGATTTTGAGAAAGATGTTTACAAATTGATGAACAATGCCATATTTGGAAAAACAATGGAGGATAAAAGGAAACATTTAGATTTTGAGGTTGTAAGTGATGAAACTAGATATATGAAGTGTGTAAGTAATCCTAACTTCAAACATAGTCATATCATTAATGAAAATTTGGTTGGAGTTGAAAAGCAAAAAACAAAGTTGAAACTAGACAAACCTATAATTATTGGGATGAGTATTTTAGATTTGAGTAAGCAACACATGTATAAATTTTATTATGACGTTATGAAGCCTAAATATGGAGATAATATTAAAATGGTATATACTGATACTGATAGTTTTGTATTTCATACTAAAACCAATGACATTTATGAAGACCTTAATACAATTAAAAAAGAATTAGATTTTTCAGATTATCCTAAGGAACATAAATGTTATGATGATAATAACAAGAAAGTATTAGGTAAATTTAAGGATGAATTAAAAAGTAAAATAATAACAGGGTTTATAGCCCTTCGTCCTAAATGCTATGCTTACTCAGTTTATGGTGATGATAAACAATATAAGAAATGTAAGGGAATAGCAAAAGGCACAGTAAGACGACAAATGAAATATGAAGAGTTTGAGACGGTTTTAAAAACTAATGAGGTTATACATAAGTCATTTAATAGTATTAGAAGTAAAACATAAGTCATTTAATAGTATTAGAAGTAAAAACCACAGAATTTTTAGTATAACAACTAAAAAAATTGCTCTTAGTAGTTATGAAAACAAAAAATATTGGACAGATAGTGTAAACTCACTTGCTTATGGTCATTATAAAATAAATTCTTTGAAAACGACTTAAAGAAATACTGACTTAATATATTATAATAGAAATGGTTGAATTTACTAAAAAAGAGCAAGAAGAAATTATTAATGACTTTTTGAATAAAATAAAAGTTAATGACAATATCAGTAGTTGTAAATGTAAACCAATAAATGAAAAAACTAGACTAACTAAGTTAAATTTACCTATTCCGATTGTTAAAAACATTTGTGATTTTAATTATGTTGAATGCGAGAAATGTTTTTTATTAAGAAATGCAAAGCAAGTTTTACATAAAAGTAATTTACATTCAACATTGAGACAATGTATTTATGATAAATACAAATTGAAATTTGAAGAAAACACATTTCTAAATGATGACTCATCATTAAGAACATATTGTTTTATAAAGTTAAATACATTTCCTACATATGAAAAAGTGAAAAAATATATACTGCAAGATAACGAAACATATATTTTAAAAATTTATAATGATATTAAATATTACTACGAACAA